CTTTAAAAGCATGCACCGACATATCTCTAAAGGGTCGTGGACTTTTTCAGATCAAGACCATGGATGGCAAGTTTCAGACTGTACTGCTGAAGGATTAAAGGTATTTATATGATCTTTCCAGTTGTCCATAATCACAAAAATTCGAAAGAGCCTCTCCTAATGGTCTACTTACTGTCTATCCCCAGTGTTGCCTCCTATTCTCAACGATGCCACCAGAAATTGTTGGTGAGAAAATGGAACCTGAACAACTGAACGACTCTGTCAACTTAATACTTTCCTTACAGGTCAGTGTATATTTGCTTTCATTTCCATTTCTTGGAAACACTTAGGATGGAAATTTTTAATATATCAACCTTATGGCATGTCATATGTTCACGATACCATCAGCTTAATAACAAATTTCAGAAATTATTAATACCCGTTGTCAAGGTTCTAAATGGTGTGTGGCGTGGCGGCGAGGTCAAGCCTCAAGCCTTACGAGTTACGGCGAGACCACGACATTTTTCTAGGCGTGTCCTAAGGTGGCATATATATGTATATATACACACACACACCCCTACCCACACTTGTATGTGTTAGTGTTTTGAATAATACTTTAGAACAAATTAAATTTATATAAAGTAATAAATTAAAAAAGAGATAAGAACCATTGATACCAAATATATAGAGCTTAAAGAAAAAATATCAAGAGTATGCAAAATCGAGATTAAATCAATTGAATCTCTACTCGTTACTTTTTTCAATTTTCAAAGAATTCGTGTTCGACTTTTCGTATAGAGGAATTTGAGTAAATATTTACCTATTTAAGGTTTTAGTTTTTAAGTTTCTTTTTTGTGTTTATTTAAGTCTTAGTCTCATACATATAATTATCATTTATCGCTCAAGTCACACCTTACAAAATAAACGCGTTGTAAGCGTCGTAACATGTCGTAATGCACCATAACGTGTTACACGCAAGCCAAGCCTTAGAGTGGAGCCATAGGGGTTAACGTGGCGGCGAACCCAAGCCTTGATGCCATAACGAGTTATTTCGAGCATGCCCGTTGTAAATCATTAAACGTGGTCTTAACAAGTTTTATTTGACTGATGATATTATAGAGCAAAAATGGTGGGCTAGCCGCATGGGAACCAGCAGGATCATCAGAATGGTTGGAGGTATCTTAGTCACAGAAAAAAAACTGCTTGTTAGGATGCAAGGGTTTGACACTGTACTCTTAACGTATTCTTTTCATTGTAGATTCTCAATCCTACCGAGTTCTTTGCTGATATCGTCATTGAGCATGAGTAAGACTCCGCATAAATTCTCATTTTCGTATCTTGTTTGGATATTATATATAGGGCCAGGTTTTGGGAAAATGCAAAAAAATGAAAAATTGAGGAACACCCTGGTAACGTTCTTCTATACGATATGCACATGTGCATACAAGTATTTGTAAGTAATTTTTCCGGTATGCACGTGTGCATGTAGAAACCAGGAAACATCTTTACTTGTATGCACATGTACATACCGTACAGATGAACAGTTATCAGGGTGTTCCTCCCAGAACCCCTCTCTCTCTCTCTCTCTCTCTCTCTCTCTATATATATATATATATATATTAATACTCAACTTCAAGAGACTCACAAAACTTGTTGACTAGGTATGTTGAATGCACATCATCAGCGATGCAGGCCCTGGTTCTGTTTAAGAAGTTATACCCCGGACATAGGAGGAAGGAGATAGAATGTTTCCTTACAGGTGCAAGTGGATACCTGGAGAAAATACAGATGCAAGATGGTTCATGGTTTGTTTCTGCCTTCTGAAGTATATATAATATTTATATATGGCAAAACTCACACACACTCCTCAAGGCTTGAATCCTTGAGCTCCAGGGAGATTGGGATGAGATCTACCTTAACATGGGTACCTCTGGGCCAATGATCTTTTGGTTTGTTTCTGCTTTTTGCAGATAAATAAGAGTTATAGAACAGTTGGAACCATTTTTCTTGTTATTTTTGTTAACATGAGGCAATTGTGGATATTAGGTACGGAAACTGGGGGGTGTGTTTTACATATGGTACCTGGTTTGCTCTTGGAGGACTGGCAGCAATTGGCAAGACGTATGAAAATTGTTCAGCAATACAGAAGGCTGTCAATTTTCTGCTGGAAACACAGCTGGAGGACGGTGGTTGGGGAGAAAGCTACAAATCCTGCCCAGAAAAGGTAACACAACAACATAAGTGTTAAAGAGAAACAGTAATAAATAAATAAATAAAATAAAACAAAATTATTATAGTTATGGCTAAGTACAGCTTCTGGGCATGGGTCACAAGGTTAACATAGTTCTCCTTGGTTTCTCTATAAACAGAAATATGTACCCCTGGAAGGAGGCCGGTCCAACTTGGTACACACTGCATGGGCAATTATGGGACTGATTCATTCTCGGCAGGTCAGTTTATCAATTCAAAAACTATATGCAATTATAGTTTTTTACTTTCTTTTGTAGTTTTTAATACTCCATGATTAATTTGTCCAAATGTAGGCAGAAAGAGATCCAACACCCCTACACAGAGCAGCCAAGTTGTTGATCAATTCCCAGTTGGAAAATGGTGATTTTCCGCAACAGGTATGCACAAAAGAAGTTCAATGAACCAAATGTAAATGATAAAAACAGATGTGACACATTTTCTGTACCATGCATTTGTGGGTGGGTGGCTGGGGGAGGGGCATAGTGCCAGGGATCATATGAGCTTATAGTTCTAAACTGAGGGGCTGTTTGGTTGGTTTTCCATTAAGGCCTGTATTGATAAAGCTGCCTGTGTATATTAATCAGTCTGTATAGATTGAGAAGGTTTTTGGTTGGGAGGTTTTATTATAGATGGAAGGAGTGTATTTTTTTGATTGGGAGATGCAGGTTTGGAAAAAACTTGGCTTTCTGCATAAAGCTCCCTCCTAGAAGCTTACTGAATAAGCCACTTTCTATATCATTAAACCACAATGAAACAGTCATGTATAGCTGACCGAATAAGCTGTGAGTCCCATTAAGCTCATTAAGCTGCTCCCTAACTTGATAATTTACTATTAGTAGGTGTCACAGCTGCATAAATACCTATATTACACAATACACACACAAACATCTCAACATACTTTCTCATGAAATCCTAGTCATGTTTTGTAGAAAGAAAAAGAAAGACTTTCTCCTCGGTAATACTCCCTCCATCCAAAATACACGTCCACAATGAAAAACGCACACAGTTTTAGAAATGTGTAGTTATTACACTTTTTAATCAATCAAATGGCAGTGATGAATTTATCCATCTCGTAATTAAGGTTAGAATTGGAAAGTAGGCACTTACTTTTGAAAGTGGGCACTATTGATGAAGATGAAGTGCTAATAAAGTAAGAAGGTTTTTACTTGTATCTAAAGAAGGTGAACCTCAATGTGTCAAACTCCTCAACTTTGCGGAAGTGAATTTAGTCTTTGCAAGCAACCTCTCCCTTGTATTTTGCAAATTCTGTTACCAGAACTTATACCTTCCAGTCACAAAGGAGTAACCTTACAAATTGCGCCATGGCTCATCCCTGCTAACTTGTTTCCATCTTCTTCTACCAAATCCAGGAAATAGCCGGAGTCTTCATGAAGAACTGCATGCTACACTATGCATTATACAGAAATATATACCCAATGTGGGCTCTAGCTGATTATCGCAAGCAGGTGCTGCCACAGCTCAAATGCATCTAGTACCACCATGTTGCTTCAACCAACGACCCAGTGCTCAACTCAATCATTTCAATGCATACAAGAAATTATTTACAATAAAGGAAACAAGTTATCTTTCTTTTCTCTATTTATCAATATTTATGCAACGGCCCACGTCTTCAAGGATGTTTAAAAAAGAGGAAGGATATTACAAGGGTGAGAGGATACAAGGTGGTCAAGAATGAAATGTAAAATAGCCTCTGTCTTTTTGTAAAATATTGTTTTATTATATTTTCTTCCTATGAGCCCACAGCCTCAGTGTTCATATTATGTAATGGTCCCTAGCCGATATAAATAAATGAGTTATTCCGAAATAAATTGGTGATGCTGTGTCCTGTGTGCTTCGTGCATGGATGTTTCCAGAAAAAACTCTCATGAAGATTAAATGAGAACTGAATATAAGCAGGTAACCAGATGCAAGAATACACAGAAGGAAAGATGTAAGTGCCTAAAAAATAGCGACAAGTGTTCAATAAGTTGGATTCTTACATTTGCTGTTCTAGTGGTTATTCTAAAGGAGTCCCATGACTGTTACCAATGCTTTCATAATGAAGAACTGCTCTTAGTATAGTTACTGGACAACATCAAAAGAATTAAAACACTCCTGTTTATAAGTAAGGGGCTGTTTGGTTGGTTTTCCGTTAAGTCTTGTATGGATAAAGTTGTTTGTGTGGATTAACCTGTCTGTATAGATTGAGAAGGTTTTTGTTTCGGAGAGCTTTGTCATAAACTTGGCTTTCTGCATACCCCCCCCCCCCCCCAAAAAAAAATAAGCTTGCTGAGTAAGTCACTTTCTATATCATTAAGCCACTACCAAACAGTCCTTTATAGCTTAGCTGTGAATCCCATTAATCTCATTAAGCTGCTAACAACATGCACCAAGGGTACTATTAAGAAACTGAAGGCAAATTTTTTACAGTTATGCGTACTTCTATATCTTACATAACAAGATGTTGCAGAAGTAATGACGGTGATTAAAAGACTTACTAACAGAACAAGAAATCCAAAGAAGATAAGTATTTGAACACTTGAGAGGATTGGTAGAAGGGTAATTTAAACTGTTTGCCAAGATGTACAGGAGCTTAATTCACTACTGTGTGCCAATATTCTTGAATGAGGAGCTGAATAATCTTGAATGATTCTCTTACCAAGTACATAGAACATTACAACAGTAGCATCATTGAACATACATTGTGCAAATATATAAACACAGCACTAGAGTCAATTGTAATTGCTGATCAAACACAGCATGCAAATAGTGACGAAATCATATTTGTAGAATTACGGATTCAAAAGAACAAATAGAGCTTGAATGTGTGTGTACAGGTGCAATCTTCCAAGTAAGTGACTAACTAACGAAAATAATAAATATCACATGAACTGTTAACATATTAAGATTGTTTATGACCGTTGTGGACTGCAATGTCTGAATGATAAACACATGCCATGAAAATTGAGAAAGCAGATGCAACTGCTGAAACAAAAGTAAGCATAGACACAACTTTTGTGTGTTTCACAATTCCAGATGGTACTTCCCAGATAGTTGCAGCATCAGTGGATCTAACACCATCATTGGTTGATGGAAATATACAGCTTTGGTTATGGGCGTCCCCTTCCACAATGCAGCGTACAAACAAGTCAGGAGAGCCAAATTCAGCTTTTGTATAACCATGTTCTCCCAAGGGCTGCAGAAATAAGTAGAATTGAATCAAACACAGAGAAGTATCCTTGCTGGTTTATAGGCAAGAAGGAAAATATGCTTTTTGAAGAGAACACAATATAAGCAAACAAACAAAAGAAAAGGCAGAATATATATAATCGTGAGTAATATAAGCCTTCCACAAAATGGTATACATACATACTGATTCAAGAATCAAATTGGTTATGAGAAGTAGGCTTAATATTACAGAATCCTTCTTACATATTCAAAGTAAAGAAGTAGCCTAAAACAATTAAAGAACACTCACAGTAACAGACTTTAGTGTGATCTATTCTAAAGAAGAAATTTGTAATTGAATAACTTCTACAGGAACAACTTTTTTGCCAACTACTTATTCTTAAATAAAAAATGAATTAATTCTACCCCGAAAATGAAATATATTTTCCTAAAATGTTAATGTCAGAAAATATAAACAGTGTGGTGCAAGCACACTTGATGCTCATCATTCACATACCGCATAGCGTGCGTGCAATGGAAGCTCGATGTTGAATTCCCACCCATTCTTGTTCCCGAACAATGTACTAGGGCCCAAATCCATGTGAACCTCAACAACAGATCGATTTGCCCGTACAGTAGGCAACTCTAAATCTGTGTCCCCAAACGCAGAAGCATCCATAAACACTGCAAAAGTCAGTGAAAACAAACATAGTAAATAATCTTGAAGGAACCATGCCACCAGAATTGCTTCAAGGGTAATGACCGTAATTTACCACCAAGCTCTGTAAGATGCTCTAGCTCAAAAGGATCAGCAAACACTCCAGAGGGCAGTCTCTCAACAATTATTGCCTTGCAGAAGAGTGAGGGAAGCTTAGATGAAACTTCTGGTTGGCTTTCAATTCTAATGGATGAAGTTAGAAGCCGGTGAGAACCTTCACCAATTAACCGTCGCTGCAGAACCGACAATTTTGGCACGAAATTATGTTTATCTTGAAGCATTTCACAGAAGCCATTAGAAAGCTCATAGGCTATGAAATCTTGGAAAGTCCGATCACTTAAGCTCTCATATTTCTGAAAGTATGCTTCTGTGATATATTTACGGCTTCCCAACTGAAGAGGTAAAGAGAAAATCATACAATGGAACAATTAAACATAAGCAAAGAAATATTATGGTCCAGCATAACATACATGAAAGAAAACAGACTTTCGCCCACCTCAGAAAAACTTGAAGAGGAATGGTTGCAATAGCAAATACCAGCAAGCAGTGACAATACGATTCCCAATCTTAGATGAAACTGGACTTGGAAACGTCGATATTCCATGAAACAACTGAAAAATAAAACTATAAGCCATTGATAACTCTGTTTCTAAAGGGGCTAAAGCATAAACTACGACGAGAAGACATTAAAATCAGCTCTCATTTACTTGGGTAACACAGACAATGGTAACTGAAGATTGCTACTTTCTTTGAAATATCAGATTTATTGAATTCCTATTGCTTCGACAACTCCAATAACAAGTAATGAACAGGCAATTTATCGAACACCTTGAATGCACCCCTCGCCACACAAGAGAGTTATTCAAAAAACCCAGCTACCGATTTCGTATCTTCCAAAAAGAAACAAGTATAAGACAACGCCGAAAATCCAAATATGTTTCTACAAATTGGTTTTCTTGATTTCTGATATAAGTATTTTCTTCAAACCTGAAAACAAGAAACAATTTTGTATTAATTTCCCATTACAATCGACCTGAATTAGTAGCAAAAGAACTCGATAACGAGATCAACGAACCATCCGATTATGCGTTGGCGGGCAACGGAGTCCAAGATGCAGATACAAGACGGATCCAGGGCGAGAAGAGATCGTCCTCAGTTTGGGCTGTTGGCTTCCAAATGTGTTTCAGTTCTCAGTTTTAAGAATAATAGCAAAAACAGCCCCCATGTTTACCCAATATGAAGATGGAGCCACTGGTTCCATCAAATGCCTACCATTACCCCCTTCGACTTTCTCTTTTTCTTTTACTGTGGTTTCTCACATCTTTGATTCAATTAATCCATGAAGTTTAGGCGAAATGTTATTTTGATAGGATACAGAGTCTTGTTTGCAGTAATGATTAGAGAAGCAAAAGGCTCAGAACTTTTCGGACATGGACATGGACCTTTCAAGCTCGGTTTTCAGTAAGCAAAGAAAAAAGGTTTTGATACACATGATATAGTTAGGATAATCACTTACCCGTAAAATTCAACACTATCGCACTAACCGTGGTAAGAGCTATCACTCTCACTTACCGGGTAAGACTTTCGGTCATCGTTTCTCTCTTATCGGGTAAGATTCTTGGTCTTTACCATATTCATCCGGTAAGGTAACGTAACTTGACAAATGCTTACCCGAATAAGCATTAGGTAAACGGCCCCTTATTTATTATTGATTGAGTTCTTAGCCTCTTGTCATAGAATTACATTGATATTCAGTTGAAATAAGTGATACAAACAGATAATCACGATACAAACATGTTATGTTGATCGATTATAGAGCGGCGACTTTTCCCGCAACCTTGGTTACGTTGACCAAGTCGTCTGCGTCTTTTTGAATATGTTGTATCACATGTAATTTTAATCTGTAATCACATATGATCTTGAAACTTCTCCGACTTTTTGCATAATCTCCCCCCCCCCCC